AAAAAAGGAATAAGGCTTCTGGTTCGTGGTTCCATTGGTTCCATTCAGAGTTTCCGTTGAATATTGGTGTCTGTTTGAAATCCGATATCACAGTAGTGATATCGGTTTTCGCTTGGAAATATAGATAACAATATGTTTCCAAGTGAAAATAGTCCTTTGGGGTATTGCTGCACCAATAAAAAATAATCAGTATTACAGAAATTATAATAATAAAACTCATCATATAAAGGTCTACATCATCATTAAACAGTCAAGAAGAAAAAATAACAACGAACAGCTTATAGAACTAAACATATTAAGTTCTGATTGTTCTTAAAGATGTAGAAAAAATTAAAGAAATAGGGATCGATTCTGCCGCATAACAGAAAAATATTAGGGCAAGGCCATGTTACGCTCAACTTCCATACATTATGCTACTGAATCGTTCTGAATACTGTCAAAATGTTCATGTAACTGCAACGTCACTTGTTTGTTATGAAGCAGGGTCAAAAAGGCCCTGTCCAGTTTTTTTTTCTTTTCTGGTTCGTGCTCAGTAGAGTCTTTTCTTCGCTCACTCTTCACAGGACTTCTTCATTTGTTACCATATCTGTTCACTTTTATCTTTCGTCTTTGCACCACATTTTAAAACTCTCCATATAGATTTTGTCGGCTTTCTTAAAGTCCATATCTCTGATCCGTACAGAACTATGCTCCAGACATTACTACTGAACTATGCTCCAGAATATAGTATAATATTCTCCCAAAATATAAGAGAAACGAATTTAATTATCTCAATAAATTACATAAAATCTACCAGGATGTACTAAGGACATTGTCGTAATGGTACCAGGATGTATTAAAGATTCCAGGATGTATTAAAGAACATTGTGATAATAGTAATAAATATTATTGAAATACTAAAGTTTTGAGTTATACTATACAGATATAGCATGAAATTTTATGTTCCTCCATATTAATATACATTTTTTTAGGAAATATACTTTTGTTAACGCCTTACTCAATCCAGGCATAATGGAATGATATTATTATATTTTATTACCTTCATACTAAACTTCATAATAAACCCTCATCCCTTATTATACTATTTCAAATTGAAAATAATCCATATTATTGTCATGTATTAACTCAAACCTCAACTAAGTAACATATCATCTATAAATCTTAATATGGTATTATTTCATTTAAATATACAACAATTAAACTACTTATCATCTTATAATCGGTCTGATATAGCCATTATCTAAATATATCTGGTCCTTCAAAAATATAAACAAAGTAATAATTTAATAGATTTCGGCAGCATCTCGGTGGATCACGAACTTCTTATATATTTTTGTACAATCTATCTTGTTACAACTTTTTTGTGCAGCTTTTGATGAATCAGTACAAATCAGATATTTTGTCAATTCTCAAATTATTTTTATAACTCCGAATGTGTTGTTTGTACAATTTTTTATACGTTGTTAAACCGTTCATATTTGTTACAATAAAAATATATTTGACATCGTTTTTTTACAATTAACCAAATTTGTGTGTCATATGAATTTATACAAAACGTCTATTATCCCGAGCGTTTAAAACTTTGAGCATATGTCGTCAGCATTTTTATTGTATGTATATATTTGCACAAGTTTAATTTTTCAAAACGTAATAAATTCATGAAAAACCCTTTTACCATTTTATTACGATCTGCTATTGCAATTTAATTAACTGGCTGAATAATTCCGAATCACCTGAAATTGCATTCATGGCGGTAATGAGGCAATTGATCTAGATATATATGATGTATATGCGCTCAATAAAATTTTATCGTACCGTTTTTGCGATTTTTATGTTAAATTATTTAATACCATGAAATGAAAATATTATGCAATAAATATAATAGTGGGTTAAGCGTAGAAAATATGACGTAATTCTCCATGGAGATAGAACGCAGTTTATTCGAAGCCAATTCTGTCACACACAGGACGATATAAATCACATGTAGCTGTTGCGAAGCTGTTCGAGCAATTTATGCGTTTGCGGGCAAAAAAAGGACAAAAAATCCATATATTTCAATTGTTTAGGAGATTCTTCATGGACCGTTGCTGACTTGTCATTTGGAAGTGGAATAAGATTACTTTTTTTCACCATATAGGGAAGACTGGGTACGGTTGTGCTAGCGGAGTGACAGTTTACATAACAGCTAAACTAAACTGATTTTGGCATAGGGTCCAAAGAGAGAAAGACGAAGTATGTTTGTTCGAACAAGTTTCCGCCCATACATTAACATAGGCTGTAGGTCGAATTGCTTTTTAAAAAATCAAAAGGAAGTTTTCATGTTCGAATTCTTTTTATAGTACCTATTTTATAATACTTGTATACAGATTGATCACTTGAATTCTTTCTACGGAAAATTTCTTGTTTGTTAATATGTTGTTAGGTGAATATTATTAGTAGTTAATTACCAGTAATTAGTTTTTGCTTAGGTAATTTAGCTTACAAAAGGATGATTTATTTCTAAAAGTGTGCGTTGGGTACGGTGGTGACAAATTTTGCGGGTACGGTTGTGACATGCCTTTCTTGTCCTTTTTGGGTGGAGATGAAACAGATAAAGAAAAATCTAACTTAACTAAGAAAAAATACGAAAAAGAAAGAGAAAGAAAAATGTTAAGCCTTCAATTTATTTACTTGTTAACGAGCATGATTTTTAAACAATTAAACCATTCTGCAGCCTTTTCTGAGAGATTTTGCCTGTTCAAGTAAATCTTAATTCTAGAAATTTCTCAAAAAAAGCTGCAGGATGATTTAACTGTTTAATATGATCCTCACCAACAAGTAATAATTTGAACAATTTTCCTATTCAAGAAAATCTAGATCTCAACTAGTAGCAGAATAGAATACCATTCTATTTAAAAGGAAAATTACTTGAATCGATGGAGTGGAAAACTTGGAAAATGGTATTTGATTCTATAAAGTGGAAACTGGCTACTTCTCAAGACGTGATATTGTCATTATTATATTCTAAATTTTCAGTTGTAATAATGTAATATGCCATTTCTGTACATTGGAGTAGATATTAATGTTTTTTATAGTAAAAAAATTATTTTCAAATATAAGATATTTATGTTCATTTTAAAAAGTATTTTAATGAAATCTGCGTACAGAAAATGGAACGAAGTAGTGAAGTTTTGGCTATCAAAGAAAAGTTTAGAAAATAAAATAGATATAAAAAATAGATCCTAAAAATTAATGGATTCTACCGTATTATTTTTATAATGCAAGAACTATAGAAATAAAAATGAAAAAAAATTGTATTATAAAAATATAATAAAAAATATGTCAGGAATAGATCATCAAATACCACTGAAATTAAATATACTAAATAAAGAAGATTTTGAATATTTTTTTATGCTGTAGGAATAATTTTACTTGATAAATGCATTATGTTACATATTATTTTAATAAATATATATTTGTTTGGAAACTTCAGCGAACTTATTGCTAATACAGAATTATGTTCCAAGAAAAAAATTTATCATGTTTTTGATGAAAATGTTTGTTCACCACATATATGTGTAATTCGAAGTTTTAATTTAATATAAATAAATAATATTTGACTTAAATGATAATCAACATGTTTTATAATTTATAATGTTGTTAATGTAATTATAAATTTTAAATTATAAATATTAATTTTCTTTTTTCTTTTTTCAGCTGGTGCCGCCCCTACCGGTGATGCCTTAAGACACAGTCGACCTTCATCCGTTAATAAAGGTAAAATACCTTTCTCTACATTTCTTATAGAATAATAAAATAATAATTTTAGAATCATTAATATTATTTTTATAGAACTATCTGAATCTTGGTGGTTTGTAATTACAAACTTATAAAAGACTAATATTTGTTTTACATGGGAATGCAGTGAAAATGAGATACTGAAATCGAGATGTACCTATGTCTGAATAATTTACTAAAAAAAATCTTGTAATTTTTCTGAAAATTCTGGGCATATTATTATTATATAATTGTTTGCATGATGTAGATGAATGTGGGAATGAATTTGGAGTAAATTGGAAATTGTGAAGAAAGAATGAATATTTAAATGGAGGTAATGGATTTTCTAATGATGATATTAATACAAAGTTTTAATTTTTTTGTTATGAAAGTGTTTTTCCGGTACTTCTTTATTTTAAATTTAATCGTCTTACTTGTAAGAACTTTTTATTTTTTCACTAACTACTGCTTCATAATATTTTCTCGGATATTTGTTTCTCAGAACTTTTCTTCTTTATAATGATCATCAATAATGTTCTGCTTAATACATAAGTAGTATAAGATAAAATCAGATAAATAACTAGCTGTAAGTGGAATTCTGTCTTAAGGCAATTAAGGCATCGTGCCTTAAGGCAAATTGCTGGAACTTCCCGTACCAAAAATTATTATTTTTTTAAAAACGATTAACATTTTTGAAAAAAAAATTACTTTGAAAAAATAAGATTTTTGGGAAACTATAAATTGGACAAAAAATAACTTTTTTTTGAAAAAAAAATTTTTTAAAAAAAAAAATTTTTTTTAATTTTTTTTTTTTTTGAAAAAAAAATTTTTATTTATTTTGACATATTGTGGAAGATCTGAACTTTTTTTCAAAGCAATCGTACTGCTTTAACTGCATAGGCACAAAATATAAAGCGCGTAAGAGCCGCGTCGCTGTCTAACGCATAAGCATTGGTACGGAACCCATAGGAATGTTGACAAAATGTATACTTATTGTTAAAATCTCTATAAAATATCTGATAATTTGATGTGCATATGTCTAATGATCATTTTTGACCGTCAAATGGCTCATTTTTTAACTTTTTCCTCCATATCTCCGAAACCGCTAGACCTACCTTCATGAAAATTTCATCGATTTTTCATCTTGTCAATACAAGTGAAATGTTTTTTGAATTATTCAAATCGGACGATCCGTTCTCTTAAAAACTGAGTTACCGTTTTCGGCACTTTTTGCCCCGTATCTTCGGAACGGCTAGACCTGCCTTCGCCAAAACTAATCAGCACGTCTCCTTATCAATACGAATCGAATGTTTTTTGAATTATTCAAATCGGTTGATCCGTGTTCCTGATATCGTCGACGAAAATTTGTATCCGCACATACATACACACACGTACATACATACACACACACATACACACACATACACACACACACACACACACACACACACACATACATCCATTTTTTCTAAGGTATGCCAAAATGTTCAGAAACCTTTGAAACGTAAAGATATATAGAAATTTTCATTTTCGATTTTTTTGCGATTACTATAACTTACCCTACGGGAAGTTAATAATGCATAGTTGTTCATATATTTTAACAGATTAGTATAATAACTATAAAAGTTATACATAATATATAAAAAAATAAATAAATGAATATTGCATTTACCATAATAATAATGGATAGTACTGCAAACAAACTCGACTCAGGAAAAAATAGTATAGATATATATACATATATATAGAGAGATTTTTTATTGCCATTTTACACTACAGTGCCCGTAATGAGATATTTTTAATTGGGAACATATTTTGATCTTTTCGTGGAAATGGACATCACAACTGCTCGATATCAGGTTGTCCAGAGCGAGGGCTTGAGCTTGCAAGCCGAGCTTGCAAGAAACTTCACAAGCCAAGATCTATAAAAAGGCTTTTAATAATAGATTTTATATTTAATTTTATATGGATATAGAAAATAAATTTCTTTTTTGTATTAAAAAATTATCTTATATTTCAAGTGCTCACATATATCAAATTCATCCCTTAACCACCCAAAGAGAGCTTTCCATCATCATCGATATTATGTTTATATTTCCACACCTATCAACACATCGTGAAATTGAAATTCGAAAGAAACTTAAATCCCCGTGAAGCTATCGGTCAATTTCAGTAGTTGTATTTCGATAAAAATATTTTGATTTTCTATATATATGGAAATGTAAATGCAATATCGCCGTGCAGGTAAATCGAGCGTTTAAATTCAATTCGGTGTTGCTGCCTGCTAGGGCTTTGCGTTTTGCGGTAAATTTTGACAGGTAGTTTCACCGCATTCGTCTGCGGCTATTTGCATAAATGTGCGAAATAGCGGAATTTGATACACTACTATTTATTATGCTGATGCGGTTAAATTATACGGGTACAGGTAACATTGCGTAGAGCAACTTTGGTACAGAAACTTAGGAGTGTTGAGGATGGTAAAAGTTTTTGTTTGAAGAGTGATTTTGTTATTTGATATAATAATAATACTTTTTTATATATTTACCACGTACATTACATCTTCTAAGGTTCATAAATTAAAAAGTATTTGCGAATTTTTGTGATACCCAACATCGTCAATTATTAATCGTTGTAGTTTTGCATTATTTTATTTAGAGGAGACTGAGTACGATTGTGCCACTTTTTTGGCCAGCAATATTTCTGTTTATTTACCAGTTAGCTGAAAAAAATCGTATTAAATTGTAACTGGAACATTTGTGGAAATACTGAAATACTGTACTTAAATACTATGGATTGGTCATAAAATCTATTCATACAAGAAAAGGGCACAGTCACAACCGTCCTGGGAGTACCGAAATACCATCACTTTGTGAAACCACTAAAATACTTTATAACGACTATACTATACTATACAATATTATTTAAATAATTATATAGCTTAGGAATATAACAATATATAACAAAACATATTTTTTTAAACAAAGCTAACAAGAAATAAACCGAACTATGCTAATCACATTTAAGGATAGTATTTCAATATTTCCACGTAGACAAATAATTCAGTTACAATTTAATTTACTTTTTTCCCAGCCTTACTTTTTATAATTAATAAGTAATATATAATATTAAATATTATTATATTATATTAATAAATAATATAATAATCACGACTAGTATTATTATAAATGTCTCTTTTAAAATCAGTCAAAAATGTTAATTAATATTTATCAGTTTACAAATCAGTCAAACTATTGCAGTAACTGTGTATCAATGTACTGAGATCTAGTCAAAATCATCATTACAATAGACTTGGATCCAGGAACAGCATTTTTCTTGGATCTTGATCTATTTTACGCCACCCCTACTTTCAGAATATGAGCCTCCACAAACCACACAGAATTTCTTGTGTTGAGTCAAAACATAACAGTAACTATGTATCTATATACTGAGATCTAGTAAGAATCATCGTTACAATGGTGATCTATCTTTTGCTCATTTGACGTGGAACCAACCGCATTTTTTTGGCACTTGATCTATTTTACACCACTCCTACTTTCAGAATATGAACCTCCACAAACCAGACCGAAACTATCTTTTCTTGTATTGCTTTTTCCTGTACCTTTCTCTTGCATATTTAGTCTTAGTTCAATTAAAATGTTCTTTAGAAAACATGTCACAACCGTACCCACAAAATTTGTTACAAGCGTACCCAACGCATACTTTTGGAGAAAAATCATCATTATGATCGAGCTTATTTATCTATGCAAAAACTATTGTTGGTCATTAACTACTAATATTCAACTTACAGCAAAATAACAAACATAGTGATATTTTTGTATACAAGTAACTGTTATTATTAAAAGAAATCGAACATGAAAACTTACTTTTGACCCTCTATTTTGATCATGTTAATGTAGAGCGCTGACTCAATACAATAATGGAACTTGTTCGGAAAAACATACTTTATCTTTCGGACCCTATCTCAAAATCAGCATAGTTTAGCTGTTATGACGTCTGTCACTACCCTGGCACAACCGTACCCATTCTCTCCTACTCTACAATCACGATTAGCACTATATAATAAAGAAGCCTTAGAGTATTTTTTCATAACGTTTCTCTTAAAGTGCAGGTTTACATTAATCTTATAATATCACAATACTTCTTATAAATCATAATTCATTCTTCGACAGAGAACAGAATCGATTTCGAGTTTATCTTTAAAACTTCTTCTAATGGCCAACAAAAAACTTTATTATCTGTTCTAAGTGTGAAAAACATTTTTTCTCTGTATTATGATGCTATTCACGGGGAAGAGTCGAGATATGCCCTTTGGGCACCTGTCTGGAATATAAGTTTCGCGGACAATCGCCGAAGTATTTTTATAGCATTGATTTATATTGAGATACTTTTGCGAGAGTTTGCTTTCGGGAATCGGTATAGTATTAATTCTGTAGAGTTTTCGAAGTTCTGACAGATGTTTTGGGATAGATAGTACCATATTTCAGATGCAGTTTTGAAGCCAATTTTTATTTACAACATTTAACTTGAAGATTAATGCTTAGCAACATATTCTTTGAAACTTTAAATTTCTTATAGCACTGGGTGTAATATATGGAACGACTATTTTTAAATATTTCTGCATAATTATTAAATATAATATTAAATATAATAGCTCAGATTTTTGAGATAGGGTTAGAAAAAATATCTGTAATGACGATAGAATAAATATTATAATATTAGGGTTAAAATAATTAGAGATTAAGAAAAGGCTGAGTCAACGAATATATAATTGATTTGTTAAATGTAGAAAAATATTCCCATTAATACACCAGAGAAAAACTATCATATAATATAGAGCCTCTATATTTTATATTATTTATTTTTTGTATTCTATTTGAACAAGTAGATTTAAATAAAACAGAATTCAAATAATATGTTATTTTTTTTATTATCATCTCTTTTATTTACAACTGTCCAGTAAAGGACATTCAATAAATTTG